GGTGCAGAATCTCAGGGTATGGATTGTGCAGGTCCCAGCTCAGGCTTCATGGATCCCTGGCTCAAGATCCCCTGATCCAATGGACTTGAACTGTGAATTGGGCCTAGACATGATATTTGCTTGTTCATTATTGCATTTATATCCCACATTTTCTCAATGGAGCCCAAGATGCTGTGTACATGATACATGCTGGGTGGGATTTGCCGGGGAGAAGAGTTCTTTCTGTGTCCTGGTTCTTTTGTTAGATTGCAAATTTCCTGTACATTCTACCTTAATAAAACTAACTGAACTGTCAGTTGTCAGTAATAGCCTCAAGGGGTAAGTAATATGTCTTTGATGGCATCTATCACATGTAGCATTAGCTGGAGCTCACCTATCTGATTCTGTTACAGTTTCAAATCCAGCATATACAGTTGTCTGGTTCTTGCTTGTTTGTCCCCCCACCTCACCCCACCCCCCAAAAAATCACCCTATATTTTGATTACTAATTATGAATGTGTTTTACAAGTAGTTGTGTTCTGGATTTATACTTGTGTTGTCCATGTAGGAGAAACACCTCTGAATATCCAGAGCTGAGTGATCGTATTCCTACTAGTCACTTTTGGGATCAAAGCGAACCAAGGCTTTTTGTGTGTGAAACAGATCGGAACCCAAGTCAGCAGTCCCTGGACAAGAATCAGCAATCAGAAGAAAACCCAGTATGTCTTTCTCCTATTCTCTTCTGGCTTGTTGCACTGTAGGGATTGGTTGTTGATGTTAACTCTGTGCTCAGGGGTTTAGCTAGAATGCTTCAGTTGGTTGCCATGAGGAATCCTTCTTGAAGGTCTTGAAACTTAAAATAAAAAAGGCTGACTGTATGAAATCTTGTGACAGTAGCAGTTCACATGTTGTTTAGCGTAAATGATTGTCAAGGTTTGATAACAAGGAAGGGTTCAGCCAGGAGCCTCCTCTCACTTCCAGGATTCAGGTATTTTTCACCTTCTCTTCACCTGCAGAGTGTCTAAAAGGGAGATAACCTCTGTGCATGTGTAGAATTCCATTATCTCTGAGTGATTACAGATGCCTGTGGATAGCCTTGCCCACTTTGGGCTATAGCCCCACCCACTGCCAGCTGCAGCCCCTCCCACCAGCAAAAATTCAGCCTGTGGCAAATTACCCTGAAGGAATGTGGCCCTCAGGAGAAATAATGTTCCTCATCCCATGTATAAACAGAGCTAGATGCACTAATGATTTAACTTGGTATAAGCCGTTTCCTCTGTTCTGCAGTCTAATATATAGCTCTGTTTTGTTTTTGTAGCTCCTCTTTAGCAAAGTGGTTGGCTTATGTCAACATAAATGTTTGCAGGGGCTTTCCCTGTTGAGTGAAGAGGTGGTTTGTTCCTGAAATACAGGACGCTTTGTTACTGTCTTTCTGGAGTACAGGCTGATTTGTGGTGTGACTTTATGATCAGTTTAGAGAGGATCCCTGTAACTTGGCCATCCGTAGCAGGTGTGTGCTCTGTTGTTTAACTGAGAACTCTGCCAAGTGAAAATGGAAAATAAAAACAAACCGTAAAAAGGATATTGCTGCATAAAACCCAAATAGTGTTCAATTTCCCCTTCCAGGTGGATGTTTTGATCGTATCCTTCTTCAGTACTGAAGAGCATGGGCTTTTGCTCCATGATCGCTTTCCGTTGCCATCAGCCTACCGGTCTCTTTTGGGCATGGAGGTGCCACATTACTATTTTGCCAAAAAGGTACGTGGTCAAAGAGTTTATAAAGAGTTGATCCTTGAAAGCTTCCTCCTTATCTCCATGCAGGAAACATTTTGTTCTCTGGACCAGGTTAAGGTAAACTGAGACTTGCCTGTTATTATTTATAAAGCACCTAATGTCTTCCTGGGTGCTGTACAAATATTACAGCAGACTTACAATCTAATACACATGTGGCCTTGCAGTTTTGTACACATGATACAAAAGTATAAAGAGATAGGAAGAGAATAGGAAAACAAGCAAATTCAGCCTCCAGTTCAAAGTTACATAAAACATGAAGTCCTGTGCTTTTTTTTGTTAAGACAGTGGTAACTAATGAAGGCTGTGGAGGGACAGTACAGTAATTTAACTGTGCAGTCCTTGATGTTTCTGTGGTGGCTGTTCCAACTACTTCTCCTTTATGGTTTCATGTTGACCGTAGGAGATGATAGCTTCTCCCACTTCAAAATGTGCTACCTGCCAACTGCTGCCAGGTAGCACCAGATGTTACCCCCCCTCCAAGGAGTGGGACATTTCACCATCTGGACAGTTGGATAGTCTGAATTTCCAGCCACTCTCTGGTTTCAGGGGTGACTGATAAAGGCTCCAGGAAGAACAACAATATAAATGTCCACTCTCTGGACCTTAGGGTAGGTAGGTGGGGGGCAGATGAAATCCTTTGGAGCTTCCATCCAACAGCAGCAGAGGTAATTAAGTAGCAATGCAAATAAGAAATCACTAGAAATTACAAGCGATTGATTTGTTTGCACTGTTCTATCATTTGGGGCTCTTCAAATGTGCATAGAATGACACTCGAAGTAGCAGAAAAAAGCAGCATGATCAGTCCAATTCCATATGGTATAATCTGTTCATAGTCCACCAACATGCTTCCCATCTTCTTGGTTTGCCTTTTTAACACTGAACTGGAAGTCTTAGTGAACCACGGTGACAAAGTAATGATGATGTGACACTGAGCAATGCCATACTGCCACAGTGACATACAGAGCACCACTCATACTGGATATGCAATTGATCCCCATCTTCATTACAATTGAGAGCAAGACCCAGAGCATTGGCATTTTGGAAATGGAGAAAAATTAAATCCCGTTTCGGCAAGAATATCTGTGATAACATATTCCTTATACATAACTGGGGTGAAACAGCACATCTAGATTACAGAAGAAGGACCTCAATAGCTGCAGTTTAGATACTTGCCATGCCTGAGGTTTATATACTCTCATGTAACAGAGGCAGCTTGTCTGTTTCATTGCATTTTCTGTCACTATTTCTGCTTTGTCTGTTTTATTCTTCACTCTGTCTACATACTTTTTTTTAATAAAAAAAATGCTACTCCTATCATTCTGTTTCTTTTTCATTGCTGCTGGGCAATAGTTGTTGTTTTGGAGAGGCTCTGTCTATAAACCTTACGTAAGTATCATTCGCTGGCCTTTATTTAATGAATTTGCCTCCCCCACCCGGATTTCATTGTTTCAGTTCCTGTCACTTAAAAATTATGCACAAGGTCCTAGAAGACTTAGAAAAGTAGGTTTGATGTCAGTGAGGTGGGCAGCATGAGAGAAAATGAAATACAGTGGTACCTCAGGTTACATACGCTTCAGATTACATACGCTTCAGGTTACAGGCTCCGCTAACCCAGAAATAGTACCTCGGGTTGAGAACTTTGCTTCAGGATGAGAACAGAAATCATGCTCTGGCGGCGTGGCGGCAGCAGCAGGAGGCCCCATTAGCTAAAGTGGTGCTTCAGGTTAAGAACAGTTTCAGGTTAAGAACAGACCTCTGGAATGAATTAAGTACTTAACCCGAGGTACCACTGTACTTCAAGTCTATGTGTGAGTGCCTTCCCTTAATTGCAACTCACAAGTGCTTGCAATGGCCCAGTAAACTCAGGATTCACTGTCTATTTCCCCCCACATATCTGATGCTGTGATATCTTTTGTGACATTTAATATGGCAGGGCCTTTTTGTTGATACTAGTTGATGCATACCCTGATTCACCCATGTAAACACATTACCTAATGCAGTTGATGAAAAGAGAAGAATACTTATTGGTGAAATCAAGGTGTGCACCACTGGAATTCTCAATTACTTTGTTGCATTTGGAGTCACCATAGGATTTCCCTATATGTGTTGTGTTGTGTCTTCTATTAACTCCTGCAGTTCATTTGTATCTATTTATTTAAATTTGGCAGTGCATGAGCTGCATTATTTGTTTATACATACAAACCATTTTTCTGCCGAAGGCCTCTAAAGCAGTGTACAATTTACATCATCTTGTGAGCTGTAAAGATGAATGGAAGTAGGAGAATTCTCATATTACAAAGTCACTGTGTTGCAGACCATTTAAAAAGCTTCCACATTGCTGTTGTACGATAGTCACTTGTCCCAGAGATTGCTCCAAATAGCTCAACTCTTAATTTTTCCCAAAGGGTGAAAGCTTCAGAAAGTAGAAGTGGTTGGGCTTGCAAGTTGCTATTTGTACTCCTTAAATATTGTGAAAATATTTTGGATTTGTTTATCCCTTTTGTCATGTAGCACTCCTTTTAAAGACTTTTTTTAGATTAGTAAAAAATAATAAGTATAGTGCTAATATGAGGCTTTCACTGTCTTCAAAATCTAAGAACTGTTTTGGATAAGAATCTAGCTGCTGTCCCAGGCTTTAAAATTATATAGGAATTTCTTTTCATGGGAAAAACTAATGATATTCTGCTCGTCATATGACTTGTGTTTTCCTTTCAGCCGGAAGCTGATAAAGATGAGGCAGAGCCTAGTGGGGTAACACACTATCAAATGGTAGCCAGAAAGCCATTGCGCGACTTCATTGGGTTGGAAGAGTGTGACAAGGCCACATGTGATGCTATGCTTAACTTCAGCTTCTATCTCACTATTGGGGATATGGATGAGGCCTTCAAATCCATCAAGCTCATCAAAAGGTAGGGATACTAACTTGATTTGGTTTTTACAAGATTTGTGTATGTGCTGGCTAGGATCCAAAGAGGTGTGTAAGTAAATCCAGATGCCCATGGAACTTTTGGGCTTATATTTCTTGTAATGCAGCCCCCAATTATTATCCTTTTTTTCAAACTCTGAAGTTTCAAAAGTAGTTTGAGATATGTCATTGGAATGCTTTGTCTGCTCCTTTAGCAGATCATAAACCCTCTTGGTCAGTTCTTGGAGTTTTTTTCCCTTGAAGGCAACCACATTGGCTACTTTATTTATTCCTCTACAACAAACACAATGACTCAAAAATATAACAGTAGAACTGGCCACAGAGCCACCATTTGTTTTTAATTTCACATTATTATAGTATGGCTATTGCAATATTAGCAGAAATAACATGTCTTAAATATTCCAATATTTTATTTTATTTTATTAAAGGTAGTTAATTAGAGCACATTTAATTTTTAGCATACAGAGCTTTTCCAGAAAGCAAGCCAGGCAAATTTTAAAATAAAATCCAGTTTTTGATTATGTGATCATTCAGTGCAGTCTTAGGAAGATGGCCTTACAAGTCTGTGTTAAATTCTGGAGGCTGGCCGTGGAGTGTGGTGGGAAATTAAGAGCAGGAAAGGACAATTTGTTTCAACACATAGTTGCGTGCCCACACAATTTTCATTTCATGGTTCCAACTTGCATTATTTACAGTACAATCCTATACAACAGTATAGGTACAGTACAGTCCTATTCAACAGCAAGACCCAGTGTGTTCAGGTAAGTGTCCACAGAAGTATTAACTTTAATTGTCTTGAATAATTTTATGTATGAAGTTTCATAGTACTAGAGACACCCAAGAATGGTTAGTGTGTATTCTGCACTTACTATAGTTCCTCAATAACTGTATGTGTGCTATGGGCGCTAATTTGTCCTGCAGTGTTACGGCTTAAGTGACAAACTTGGCTTTCTCCCTTATTTGGCATCCAAATTGCATTGTAATGAAATTCAAGAGCCAGCTTGATTATTTTCTGTGTGAAGAAAATGAAATTGGGGTGGGAGTGGAGTGGGGTGGAGAAGATGAGCTGGTGACGCCAAAAATCAAAGCACAGATTTAAAGATATATACTACACAAGTCTCTGGAAAGAGACAGCAAATATATAAGTTCACAGCTCTGTCATCCTGACCTCTCTGTCTCAGTGGCTATGCCTATAGCAAAATTGTAGCATCTTCAGTTTTATGTGACACACATGTCACTTCCTGCTTTTCCCACCTTTCTTTCTTCCATGTGTTTTGGACCTGGCCGTTTTACAATAATTTCAGTGCTATGCCAAACAGAATTATGAGGCTTGTTGGAAGGCAATATTTTTGCACTCCCATTAGTTAAATTAGGAGTAACTTTCATCTCTAGTAAACCCAACTCAAACTCTACCCTACGTCTGCGCCTCCTGATAGCGTCTGTAGTTTGTCTCTCAACTGGGGTGGACTTTGGTCTTTCAAATTTTCAGCGTGTGAGGCCAAAATTCAGCACCCCCCTGCCTCTTGCCTTCCATTCTTAATTCACTACACCATAGTTGTGATGCCCTGCAGCATCCCCTAGGCTTGGTATCCAGTGTGGCGGAACTGGTTGCACAGTCTTAAATCCGCCTCTGATCTCAATTTTTGACATGGCATCTTACATACCCAGTAGTGAATCTTTCAAATCAGCACCAAATATGAAAATGCCCAGTAGTAAAATTTGAACTGGGTAACTGTTTAGGGTGATGAAAAGAGGGACTGTGGTTATTAACATAAATATATAAATGGATCACATTACAAGGTGTTGGGTTTTTTGGGTGTACTTTTTATCATCTGTTTAATAGCATGCAAAGCTTTCTGAAACATTTGCTTTAAAGAAGAAATGCTTGAAACCTTCAACTTTCATTCTTTAAAAAAATTGCTGTCATTCTTTATAAATTCTACTATTATGTCAGTAGCTTTTTGGTTTGTAAATTTTGAAATGGAAACAATTGTTCCTACCAGATTGGATGCACTTAACATTATGGATGGTTGACTCTTTAATATAATGTATGTGTTACACAAGCATTATTAATTGTATGATGTTGATGAAAATGTGACATGGAACAAGTTTTCCTTTCCTCTTTCATGTGCTTTATGTTATTGGATCCAAAAAATGGATGCGGGATAACTTTCTCTGAACCAAGTTTCAAGCTTGGAATATTGGGTTATCTTTCCCCCTTTCCACAGTCCTACAAAACTCATCTTGGGTAGATCTGCCACATCTCAAATCTGCCTAGAATGGCCATGTGCCCTACTTCTCAGATTATAGCCTTCTGCTTAAAGTCATCCTCCATTTGAAGGGCGTTCTACTTCATGCCTGGTTTAAAGTTAAAGAACCATAAGGAAAGAAAACAGGGAGGGCTTTATAAGTTGCTGTCCATCAACAGTTAGCACCTGGACAGCAGTTTGCACAGACACACAGGTTACCATCTTGTTCCCCACCATGGTGAAATATATTGTGTTTCTATTTAATTATAGCAATTGTTTCTAAATTTGCGACAGTACATTTAAATTAGCAGGTGCACGTTTATTTAAATCTCTGCCCCATTTTGTCCTCTTTTTTGCGATGCATTTCCTGGGTTTGGGTACATAAGCCACCACTCTTAATATCCCTGACTTTTGACTGAAGTTCCATCAGGATAGTTAAGCTGTTAATATTTTACACTGTACATCAGAGAGGAGAGATGGTGTATAATGTACACATGTATATAGATGTAGCCCATCCAAGTAATAACGTTGGGCTTCTTTAATTGAAAAGTGAACTTAGTGATTTCCTTCAGTGTTTAAATTACATGGCATATTTCATAGAAAGCAGTCCATTTTGTATGTCGTCTTCTCTGAAGAGTCAGCCCCTTTTACCCACATATTCTCAACATGGTGACTCAACATAGTCATTCTCCAGCCCACGTCGGAAGCGAGCAGTCAGGGTACGACTGATAACGATGACTCTGGGTGCCATGCAGTCCTCCCGTCGGTGAAGGATGTTCCATATGAGAATGGCAGCAGCCAGTGTGGCCAGAAGACAAGCCCCAATGTTCAGGTAGCAAGACCAGGACAGGCTGGTATAGGGTCCAATACGATAGAAGGTGACCAACCCAATGACCAGAACAAAACCTGAAAGAAAGGTACAGAATAGAATGCCAGATGTGAGTAATGTATTTAGAACCTGACATTCTAGAAAAAACACTTGTTGCAGAAGAACTTTGTATCTTGCCCAGTAATGCGCATCTCCAGATTTTGGCACTAGAGTAGTTAAATATTGTTATCATAAAACATAATGAGTGATACAGTGGTGCCTCGCAAGACGAAATTAATTCGTTCCGCAAGTCTCTTCGTCTTGCGAGTTTTTCGTCTTGCGATGCACGGTTTCCCATAGGAATGCATTGAAAATCAATTAATGCGTTCCTAGGGAAACCGCCTTCAGACCAGGTCCGGGGACAGTCTGTCCCCCGACCTCTTCTGAAGGCTGGGGGGGGGGACAAGGGCTTTTCTTCCCACCCCCAGCATTTTAAAAAACCCCGGGACAGTGGAGGACTTCTCTGCTGTCCGGGGCAATCTTAAAATGCTGGCGGGCGGCATTTTAAAATCGCCCGGGACAGCGGAGGACTTCTCCGCTGTCCGGGGCGATTTAAAAGCCCCTGGGAAGGCAGGCAGGGGGGACAAAGATTTTCGCCCCCCGCCCGCCTTCAGAAGAGGTCCTGGACCTCTTCTGAAGGCGGGCGGGGGCGAAAGTCTTTGCTCCCCCCTGCCTGCCTTCCCGGGAGAGCGGAGAAAGGCAGCGCATTTCTCCGCTGTCCCGGACGGCTTTTGAAGGCAGGCGGGGGGGGAGCAAAGATTTTCGCCCCCCGCCCGCCTTCAGAAGAGGTCCTGGACCTCTTCTGAAGGCGGGCGGGGGGCGAAAGTCTTTGCTTCTCCCCCCCCCTTCAAAAGCTGTCCTGGACAGGCTTCGCGGACCTCTCCGCAAGCAGCGGGAGCGCTCCCGCTGCTTGCGGAGAGTTGCCAGCATGCCGAAGCCTGCGCGTGCTGAAATCAGCGCGCCCAGGCTTCGCGGCCCCGCTGCCCGGCATCGGAGCTTCGTTCCGATGCCGGGCGGCGGGAAGAGGCGTTCCCGCCCCGCCGCCCGGCATCGGAGCTTGGTTCTGATGCCGGGCGGCAGGAGAAGGCGTTCCCGCCCCCCCGCCCGGCATCGGAGCTTGGTTCCGATGCTGGGCGGCGGGAGGAGGCGTTCCCGCCCCCCCGCCCGGCATCGGAGCTTGGTTCCGAAGCCGGGTGGCGGGAGGAGATCCGAGGACAGTGGGGAAGACGCGCTGCACTTCCCCGCTGTCCCGGAGATTTCCCTATGGGCTTTCGTCTTGCGAAGCAAGCCCATAGGGAAATTCGTTTTGCGAAGCGCCTCCAAAACGGAAAACCCTTTCGTCTAGCGGGTTTTCCGTCTTGCGAGGCGTTCGTCTTGCGGGGTACCACTGTATTTAACTATGTTTTAATCAAAAGTAGACCCATTGAAGTAGGGACGGGTGGCGCTGTGGGTAAAAGCCTCAGCGCCTAGGGCTTGCCGATCAAAAGGTTGGCGGTTCGAATCCCCGCGGCAGGGTGCGCTCCCGTTGTTCGGTCCCAGCGCCTGCCAACCTAGCAGTTCGAAAGCACCCCCGGGTGCAAGTAGATAAATAGGGACCGCTTAGTAGCGGGAAGGTAAACGGCGTTCCGTGTGCTGCGCTGGCTCGCCAGATGCAGCTTGTCACGCTGGCCACGTGACCCGGAAGTGTCTCCGGACAGCGCTGGCCCCCGGCCTCTTGAGTGAGATGGGCGCACAACCCCAGAGTCTGTCAAGACTGGCCCGTACGGGCAGGGGTACCTTTACCTTTACCTTTAGACCCATTGAAATTAGTGAGCATGAATAAATTAGGCCCATTAATTTTGATGGGTGTACTCTGAGTAAAACTTGGCATTGAATACCATTGAATACCACTCAATGTAAATTTTCTGTTTAGTTCTATTAGGGCCAAGGGACACGTAAAACTTTGGAACCAAGGTTACATAAATGAGTAGGAAAAGGAGACTGGAAACCAGTTTGAATCTGTGCATTTCTAGATGCACAAAGGAAATCCATTCAACCAGTTTCGCTTTCTCTGAGCCATTAGCAGATACTGTACTGGTCACTGGTTTTCAAATTCTTTCAGTGCTGAAACCTTGTTTTTAAATTTAAAAGCTGTGTTCTGAGTTTTGCCTCTGTTACTGAGCTAGCACCAGTTGTGGCCTTTATCATAGAATTGTAGGATTGGAAGGGACCCTGAAAATCACCTTGCCCCAACCCACTGCAATAAAGGAATATGCAGCTGTCCCATATGGGGATCAAACCTGCAAACTTTGCATTATCAGCACCACACTCTAACCAACTGAGCTATTACTCTAATTTATTTATTTCCATTTTATACTCTGTCATTCCTTCCAGCGGGAATGCATAGTAGTTGCCACATCATAGCGATACAAAAAAGGCAATAATAAGAACCCCACTTAAAGTACCAATAAAATGTACAAAACTACCATAAGAAATCAGCAGCAAGGTCAGCAGAATGTTCTTTGCACTCCAAAGCCTGGCATTTCCCCACTCATACTAAATACTGTGCCTTGGCTACTCAGAAAATCTGATGTTCCCTATTGAAAACTCACATATCCAGGATGTGCCATACATATTGGCAAACAATCATGTGTAGAAAGGTCTTCAAACTCTAAGCTCAGCTATGCAGGTTTTTAAAACCAATGGACAGTACTGGGTCCAATTAATACAAGCAGTCACCTGTATGAGTTACCTCTTTTGATGTGTGGACCCATCTCTACTTAGTAGATTGATTGTGCAGGCTGTCTTAGTGTTTCGTGTTGCACATGAATTTAAACAATGTCAGTGCAGCTGATCCTCTCTAGGAAACTGTTCTTACAGAGTTAAAAATCGCCCGAGTCACAGAAAGAGCCACTCACACCAGTGGCTTTCCATATGGAGTTGGCTCTATGTGGTACTAGTTCAAGAGGCCATGAACAAGGATTCACATGCTTTCAATGAAGAGTTATATAAACACGGATATTGTGAAGAAGGAAAATAAATTTTTCCTCTGGGAAATTCCTTTATCTAGGAATCTCCTGTGAAATGGTAGGAAAACATCTAATCTTAAAGTGCAATAGTATTTTGCCTTTCTGCAGCAGGTTATCCCACTGCTCTTGAAGATCTTTATGAACACAAAGAATCCCACTGCGGCTTCCCGCTTCATATGTATCCTAAATATCCGGTTATTCATAGTTTCAGAGATGAGGAAGCTGAGGTGAGGAGACTTGTCTAGCCATGCAGGAAATCTGTCATGGGGTCAGCAGTAGAACCCAGAACATCTGACCCCAAGATGTTGTGTATGCAATTGCAAAACCTCCTTCCCTTTAAACCAGTGCCCTATTTCTTGACGAACTTCACTGCAGCGTTCTAGTTTCTCTTTCCCTCCTCCACCCTCGCAGGTCTAGTTATTAACTTTTGATGGAAGTAATTTATAGATCTAATTAGCCTGACAAGAACAATATACAAAGAGGCAAATGTGTCTCACATAATAGGAAAAAAATCAGCTTCCCCTACTCCCATAAACACTTCCTTAACCACCACCATAACAGAAGGAATTCACATAGACAAAAGGGCCCCTTTGCAAAGGGAGACTAGAATAAACAAAGGCCCGTAAACAGACATAAAGATCTGCAGATACCATTTCCGTTAGGTTTGTGGGCAAGGACAGGTCAGACATGAAGAAGGTGATCTCTCTCTGCTTTCTGTGAATTACTGGCATTGCTTGCACATCTCTTACAATATGACCATTGTATGTGACTGCATCCTAAAAAATGGCTACAAGGGAGCTTGATGGTTTGTTTTCTTCTATAGTGAGTCTTCTGAAGGGGTCAGCAACTAGAGGCCCTTCAGCCAAATTCAGCACCCTGAAGATACCAGCTACTTCTCCCCTGGAGGCAAGAAAACTGATTAGAGGATGTGGCAATTATGTTATTAGGACTTGGTGGCACTTGACTTTGGAGAACGTGGTGGTAGCTTATCCCCACCCTTCATTCACTTCTCAGATTAGTCCACCTGTAAATTGAGTTGCTGACCAAGACATTCTTGGGTTTGAATATGACAGCTGGGGGGGTGACTAGAACTAGATTTCCATGTGCAAACTTGCTGAGTTTCAGTGCCGTCCAGTACAAATTATCCTTTCACAAAAGTTCCCAAAAATCCATGGTGTTCTATTTTTATAGAGCCTTATAAAAATCGTTTAAGCCTTTCTGGTTTTGTTTGGTAAATAGCCAGAAATAAAGGGATGGTTCTGAGAAGTAGCAGGTTCCCACCCACCTCCAGCTTTCATTCACAGTTAAGTTTCTGTATAGTATGGGTTAAATCCTTTGGATCTAATGTCCTTTACAGTGCCTTTTGCTCCCTCAGAGTAGTTTTTCTGGAAATGCTCTTGCAGAAACAACAATTTTTGTGTGCTGTCCTGTGTACTTTAAAAATGGAAAGATAGGAACACAGGAAGTTGTGTTATACAGAGCCAGACCACTAATCCAATCCATCTAGCTCAGTATTACTGGGGGAATGAGTCTGTGACCTTCTGCATGTGAAATAGATGCTCTGCCTCAGAGCTATAGCCCTTCCTCACATTTTCACTTACTCTTCCCTGTGGGGATGTCATTGTAGGGCACTTGCAGTACAGTCCTACATATGTCCACTCAGAAATAAGTCCCACTGAGATTGCAGTCTAACTCAAGATATGAACCAAATTAAAGCACAGGACTTGGAGAATTTCAATAAAATTGTATTTTTGCTAGTTTGCTTTTTAAAAAAAGTTCAGGGACTTGTAAAAAAGGACAAAGCTTGAACAAGCATAGGCTGGCTGTTAGTGGTATCTAGATGTTGCTTAAAGAGCTGTCATATAACAGGCAACTTACAGCTCAACTGCCACAATTTTGGCTTCAATTTGTGTGTGTGATTCTACTGACTTGAAGCAAAACATGAGAGTTTTGTTAAAATGATGACTGGAGTTGAAGGAGATAATAATAAGAAAGAGAAGCCCAGAACAGCAGCAATGTCTCAGACCCTC